AGAGCAATCAGGGACTGGAACTAGAGTCCAATGTGAGTAACTTTATTATTAGAGAGTATGACAGGTATACAGTACCTAGAGTCCAATGTGAGTAACTAGAGAATAGGAAGCATTGGACTCTGCAGTACTGTCCGAAGTTTTGTAAACAAAGGTAAACAAAGCAGCCACAAAGGCGAAATAATAGAGAACACAATCAATAGTGAATGATAGAAGAATAGATAGAGAAAGGAATGAAAATATATAGGTAGCACAAAGGTGCAGAATCACCAAAACTAACAATTGCTTCAATGCCTGATTGAGCCTCTCCGTTTGTCCATCAGTCTGCGGATGGAACACCGTCGATAATTTAGGTTTGATGTCCAGCATTTGGCATAACTCTTTTGTAAACTTGCTAGCAAATTGGGGTCCCCTATCAGAGATAACCATTTCCGGCAATCCATGCATAGACCATACAAAATCTTTAAATAGATCTGCCGTACCGGCGGCGGTAACAGTTTTGTTGGTGGGAATGAACACCACTTCTTTGGAGAAGCGATCTACTACCACTATTACTGAATCATACCTATTTGATTCAGGTAGATCCGTCGTGAAATCAACCGGTATATCTTGCCAGGGACCAGCTGGTATTGGATTTGGCATAAGTTTACCAGCCAGCGGTTGATGCGAATTCTTTGCCATGGCACATGTCAGACAGGATTTTACATACTCCTGTACGTCTTTGATCATGCCAGGCCACATGTAGTTTCTGGAGATCAACTCCATTGAGCATGACAGGATTGTGCAAGTGTAACAGGAACACACTATAAAGGTAGTGAATGGGGAGTGGTTACCCCTCAGGCACATAGATTGTCTTTAAAATGGAAGAGCCCGTCTTCCCATAAATAGTTTTCATTGCCATCAAGGTGTGCCTTCTCTTCTGAGGAGATGTCTTTCTTGAAGACTTCCAAAAGATCAGAATCCTGCCAGATTCTAACATTGGCAACCCTTGATTGGTCTATCAGGGTGATGCCTTTGTTGTCATCTTCTATGCCGTTGGCATGATCCTCTCTTCTGGACAAAGTGTCCGCTTTCCCCATCAAAGTTCCAGGCTTATGAATTAATTTATCATTAAACCTAGACAACGGTAACACAATTTTCGGACCTTTCCTTCTTTTTCATTCTCCGCTTTAACCTTGTACACTTTAGCTTTCACACATAGTGCCACGCGGCACTTCCCCTTTTATTCAAAACTCCTCTTTTTCGCGCCGCATTGTTTTATTCTTATTTTAGATACAACTCTCTCACACAGTGGAGCTGGTCATGCGGGCTAGGCCCCATGATATTATCAGCCACTAACTTTATCAACTGTACAGTACATAAGTACAAATACTCTGTATTAGTATATATACCCCAATAGATCCAGGAGACTCCTCAGCGAGTCCTCCTGTTGTTAACCAACAAACTCTCTGCAGCCTAAGGGGTAACCACTCCCCATTCACTACCTTTATAGTGTGTTCCTGTTACACTTGCACAATCCTGTCATGCTCAATGGAGTTGATCTCCAGAAACTACATGTGGCCTGGCATGATCAAAGACGTACAGGAGTATGTAAAATCCTGTCTGACATGTGCCATGGCAAAGAATTCGCATCAACCGCTGGCTGGTAAACTTATGCCAAATCCAATACCAGCTGGTCCCTGGCAAGATATACCGGTTGATTTCACGACGGATCTACCTGAATCAAATAGGTATGATTCAGTAATAGTGGTAGTAGATCGCTTCTCCAAAGAAGTGGTGTTCATTCCCACCAACAAAACTGTTACCGCCGCCGGTACGGCAGATCTATTTAAAGATTTTGTATGGTCTATGCATGGATTGCCGGAAATGGTTATCTCTGATAGGGGACCCCAATTTGCTAGCAAGTTTACAAAAGAGTTATGCCAAATGCTGGACATCAAACCTAAATTATCGACGGTGTTCCATCCGCAGACTGATGGACAAACGGAGAGGCTCAATCAGGCATTGAAGCAATTGTTAGTTTTGGTGATTCTGCACCTTTGTGCTACCTATATATTTTCATTCCTTTCTCTATCTATTCTTCTATCATTCACTATTGATTGTGTTCTCTATTATTTCGCCTTTGTGGCTGCTTTGTTTACCTTTGTTTACAAAACTTCGGACAGTACTGCAGAGTCCAATGCTTCCTATTCTCTAGTTACTCACATTGGACTCTAGGTACTGTATACCTGTCATACTCTCTAATAATAAAGTTACTCACATTGGACTCTAGTTCCAGTCCCTGATTGCTCTCAGCAAGTGGCTAGACACTTCCTTCAAGCTTTGTTATTAAAAGGTTATGAGCCCTATGCTCTAGCCATCTTCCTGACCTCATATCTGACTCTTATTATCTCATCCATCACCTCAGATTACTCTGATCTCATCTTGATCTCCAACAACAACTCCTTGTTGCAGTTACCCCCATTTCGGACGCTTTTTGGTCTTATCTGCACCATATCTCGCCCAATCCTTATCTGATTGTCCTGTAACTTCTACCATCGTCTTCTACGGCCTAAATAACCCTAGGAGACCTGTCAGAGCGGTTGGATTTGAGCTGGATCTTTCTGTGAGCCTTCATCATCATTTGATCACCTTTTGGCCCCCTATTCCATATCTCCACATCCTGTGCTCGGATCTTGGCCCTATTTGAGCCATCTACTGCCCTATACTATTGCAATTTACACCCTCAATTTGGGGGCAATCCATCCACTCCATCATCCTCTGTGAAGTTCGCATTTTTGGCACTTTCACCCCTATTGGACCCCTATTGCATATCTCCACATCCTGTGCTTCACTTCTTGTGATATTTGGGCCATCTATTACTCTATAAAAATGTTCCCTATACCTCTGATTTGGTGGCAATCCATCCATCTTATCTGTCTCTGCATCAATTTCGACTTTTTGCCCTATTTTTTGCTTTTTGGCATATCTGGTGTGTGCATAAAGCTCCAATCTTCTCTACTCTGTCCATTATCAGATAGAACAAGCCTATAGACTGTGAAGCTTGCCTGCATTGCCTCAGTTTGTTGTTGCCTAGAGCCTCTCTCAGTCTGCGGTGTTTGGGGAGCTTAAGGCACTTTGTTGACTCATATACAAGCCCTATTAACCAACACTGTCTCGAGGCGATTTCTCTGTTAATATCAGTGTGGAATTGAAAGGGGAACACAGGCGTAACCCTGTAGCAGCACTAGGAAGCCTTAGCACCCTCCTGGATTGCTTTTGGACACTTTTTGGGCCCTATTTGGACCTATCCTTGCGCTTTCTGACCCTCTCCATATCCTCTCTCTACTGCCTCACCATCTTATCTGCTCGCCTCCTACTGTTGCCCATTGTCTTTGCCACTATTCCATAGCCTATAGCTGTCTCCTACATCATTTATCATTGCTCTATTATCTTATACAACACCCATCATGTCTGACTCTGATCCCAAGTTCCATCCCTTGTCTGGCACTAACTACCCCCAGTGGAGTGGTGAAATGCAAGCTTGGTTGATGACCAAGGGACTGTGGAGGCTCGTCTCTGGCGCTGAAAAGTGTCCTGGGACTGACGCTGAAGCAATAGAGAAATGGGAGTTGAGAGCTGAAAAGGCTGCTGGTGTATTATACCTCAATGTCACCAAAGAGCAGCACATCCATCTTGATGGCATCATTGATGATCCTGTCAAGATCTGGGAGAAACTGGCAATTGTGCACGTCTCTAAAAAGCCTGGGACGAGATTTAATGCCTATGACAACTTCTTCTCTATCAGAAAGAAGGAGGACGAGTCCCTACAGTCTCTCATGACCAGAATTGACAAAGGCATGCATCAAATTCAAAATCTTCGTCCTACTGGCTTCTCATTGTCTGAATTGGACGATGAATTGACATGCATGGCCATGATTAGGGCGCTTCCTGATCAATATGCCCACTTCACTTCATCTCTACTACTTCTGGGCACCTTGGACAAGACCCAGCTCAGGGATGCTTTCCTTGCTGAAGAAGTCAATCGCCGTCGTTGTGCTGAAGTCGATTCTGCCTTGCATTCTTCGTCTACCACTGCCAATAGTACCTGCACCCATCCTAACTGCCATCATTGCAACCAATCCACCACCTCTACTTGCGTTCAGTGTGATTTCTGTGGCTTACTTGGTCATACCCAAGACAAATGCCACAGATACATTGCTAGTCGCCAACAGGCAGTGGAGGGTGCTAAGAATCGCTACAAGCGTGGCAATAAGGCTTAGGCAGGCTCCAGCAACTCTCAGAATACCTCTCAGCAGCCCAAATCTTCGCCCAACAATGCCAATTCATCTACTGTGGTCACTGAATCAGCTGGGAATGCAAGTCTTTGTTCCATTCATCCCTCTGATCCTCATTGCCCTCTCCAACTTGATGCTGACATTGATTGGAATGCAGACACAGGCGCCACTTCTCATATGACACCTCATCGTCATTGGATGCACCACTATACCCCATATTGTGTGCCAATCAAGCTGGCTGATCACACTGTTGTCTATTCAGCTGGTGTTGGTACTGTGGTGTTTAATCCTGTGATGAATAGCAAATTGGCTAGGGCTGTGGAATTCTCTAGAGTGCTCCATGTACCAGATCTTCGAAATAATCTCCTCTCAGTCTTGTATTTAACTCGTCAAAGTGGTTTCAATGTCACTATTTCGTCTCATTCCATGTCCTTTATGCGTGACAACACTCTCTTGTTCACTGCAACTATCAATGACAACAATGCAGCATTCCTTGATGGATCTACTGCTGCTTGTGTTGAATTGGGACATCTTACTGCGACTATACCACTTGATTTGATGCTCTGGCATCGCAGATTGGCTCACCACCATCATGCTGATGTCAAGAGACTGATACAGAGAGATCTGGTCACTGGGCTTACACTGGAATCCAAGGCTGCTCCTGATCCTGTCTAGGTAGAATCTACCTTGCAAAATACACAGACTACTCAAGTGAGCGTCATGAAATCACACTGCATCAGCTACAGACTCTTCCCACCCACTCAATATGTGGGTGAACCTCAAGTCAAAATTGTAACAGGCAAGGCAGTGTTGTGATAGCCCACCTTTGCAATTCTGAGAGGCATCACGCTCAGCTGCAGATGGGATACACGCGATGTGCATGCCATTGATAGCTTCAATTGCTCCAGCAAAGCGGCAGAACTTGGGGTTGTTGATAATATACAATGGGAAAGGGTTGTTCTCACCTGGTAGATAGACATAGGTCCCATAAATCTTAGGAGACGTGATTGCATATAAAATCTGTTTGAAGTAGCTAAATAAAAACAAAAAAAATTAGAGCAGAGGGACACACACCGCAAGATTGTATCATTTGAGCGCCGGAAATGCTTGCCAAGATGGCAGACAGAAAGCCCAGTGATGGATGCATAAAGGAATATGGCAAGTTGATCCTCAAGGTTAACATGCCTCCAGTTTGTGTAGTGATGGCGCCACAAGGGCTTGATTAGCCTGAGGAATATGTGTCGCTGAACACCTAGCTCAGATTGATTTTGATCAGGATGGCCATGTAAAAGCCACATGACCCATCCGTGACCACTCAGGATGAATGTGTGATATGGGATAGGAGTACTGGAAATTACACGGTCATTGATGACAAGAATGGCTAACTGGATAACAGTCTGAAGCGTGACGATGAGGAATGATATCTGTTGGGCACAGGTTAGTAGTAAAACTCTATGTCTATGTAACCTGGTAGCCTCGCTATCCTCCCCCTCCTCACTCTCTTGGTGGTCTTCATCCATCCGTTCCCCATCCTGATCAGACTCCATTGTGCTGCAATGTACTGTGATATGCTGCAATGTTATCAACTGCCAGTGTAAGGCCAAGGTTATCATCTGAGTTCTAATTATTTGGCACAACACCACCTAGGATCTATGGCATCTATTGTGGTGCCACAAATTAAGAAAAATCAGAATAGATTTTTGTTCCCATACAGATAGTCTGGTCCGAAGTAAGGACCTTTGGCAGGAACCCCCGCTTCGGTAGTAATAGAGAAGGCACAATGAGGGGCACATTTGGCTTGAACTCAGCATTTTGTGGCTAGTCACACCAGGAAAAAGCACATAAAGGTTTCAGTGAAAACATGGTTAGACTTTTTGCTTTCTTATAATCCATGGTACCGAAGGAGTGGTGTTCAGTTTAGTGAACACAACTTGAATGAGTTGTATAGTGGCAATAATAACAATCAGTTGCTCTCTGCTGTCTCTTTGAATTTTGTAGCTCCTGAATCTCATGGCAATTCTGCATCTTCAGACTATACAGATCGTTCACAAGTAGAACTTGACTCACCAAACTCGCCTGCATAGGATGACTATATACTTGATGCAGTTGGCTATACTACTGGCGACCATTCACCTGCAAGCTACATATTGATGAAAGCCACTGCGCTCACTTCATGTTTGGATGGCCATAGGTTTCTACAAGTTCGGAGTGCTAGTAAGTTGATGAATGACGAAGATCCTTCAATGTTATTGCTATTGTTTCCCCATTTGGATCCATGGGGCATAGGCAGCTTTCACCACCCAGATTGCACAGAAGAGCAACACATATTGTTCCAAAGACAAGTCCATAATCTATTGATGCAGGATGATGGTTGGTTTCAAGCAGATGCCAACTTTGCCTAGGTCTGTTTTAACATTATGCAAAAGAAGGAGGTCAACCAGCAGGTGTTTTTTTGTGTATCCTCATTTTTATGTGAGTCAATTGGTGCCCAGGTTGCTGAACATGCTCCTGGTTTGACTGATCTTATTTGTCTCTGGGAGAAAAATCCTGCTGCAAAAGTGTCTAATGCCTACCAAAAAAAAGTGTTACACTTGTTAAATCAACTCAAGCTTATTGCTAAAGAAGTTAAAGGGTCTACTGGCTACAAACTCTGCTGCAGAAATGAGATTTGTGCTCTACTGAAGAGGTTCAGAACTCCTGCTCTTTTTCTTACCCTTAATCCCTCTGATTTTCATCATCCCCTTGTTGGTATTCTCGGTGGTTTACTCCCTGAAGCTTGGCAAGCTATGTCATTGTATGAGCGTAGTGTATTTGTAGCAAATAACCCAGCAGCAACTGCTCAGTTTTTCCATGTCATGATGACTTGCTTTCTACAAATTATTGTTCAACATGGCTCAGATTCTCCAGGTTTGTTTGGACACAGTGAAACCTACTATGGTTGAAGCCCAAGGGCAAGGCACCCTTTATTGCCATCTATTGCTGTGGTTGCATGGTAATCCCAATCCACAAATGTTGCGTGATCAAATGTGAGCTGACAGTGTCTATTGTGATCAAATGAATGGTTGGAATCTATTATCAAGTGTGAGCTTCCTGGCATGAATAACATTTTGACTTCAGATGATGGGACACCAGTGAAGAAACCACCTCGTTCTCCTGATTCTATTGACCCACGTATGCTAAATGCTCCTTGTTTTTCCCCTGATTCTGATGATAGTCAATTTCAGACTGATTTCCAGGATCTTGTTACTGAGTTGGCAATTGCGTGCAACTGGCATGAACATACAGATACCTGTTGGAAACATCTCAAAGTAGGGGAATCTAGGGATGATTCTCATCGCTGCATGTGTATCAATGCTAGTACAAGGTTGCTCACTGAAATTGATCCTGAAACGGAGTCCATCTTGCTTCAACAATTGCATCCTCAGATCAACGACTTCAATGAAGTTATTCTTTTCCTCATGCACTGCAATATGGACATCAAATATATTGGATCTGGCCAAGCCGCAAAGGCTCTCATCTATTATGTAACTGATTACATGACAAAAAGCACTTTGCCAGTACATGTCAGTTTTGATGCCTTGTGATATGCTGTAAAGCAAAATGGGATAAAATTTGCGTCATCAGAAGAGTCGACAACCTTCAGAAATCATAGTTTATTCACCAAGGCTGTCAATGCTATCATGGCACAACAAGAGTTGTCACATCAACAAGTAATGAGCTACTTGGTAGGCGGAGGTGGTTGCTATAAAAGCCATTTTTTCAAAGTGCTGCAATGGGGTGATTTTGATTGATACATACTAAGGGAAGAGCGCAATGAAGAAAGTGTTGAAAAGAACATTAGTACAGAGGACAGTGATAATAATTATGAACAAGAAGATGACCTCACTGATGATGATGGGGAAGAAGGCAACAATGCCAGTACAGAAGAATTCCATGAAGACAATGTACTGGTCAATTTGATGGGGAATGTTCAAAGTTTCACTTCCAATTCCAACCTTGTCAATTATTGTTTTCAAAGTCAAGATGTTCCCTTCCAGGACTTGTCATTGTGGGAATATACAAAGCAAGTGCAAAAGATTTCTGTCAGTGCTGAGCATGCCAGGTTACAAAAATACACTGCACATACTGAGCACAACAAAACTGATACTATCATGGGGAACCAATCACGAGGAAAACACCCTTGTCTGCGGGGCCACTTTTTACCTTCTCATCCACAAAAAGATTCTTGCCTTGTGCATATCCAAGAGAACCTGTTCGTGCCTGTGTCATTGGGAAACACACTACCAAGACAAGACCGGGGCGAGGTAGAGTTTCAGTTGTGGTGTAGAGCGATGTTGATTTTGTTCAAGCCATGGCGGTCAGTGTCTGATCTGAAGGATGAAAACGAAACATGGCAATCAGCTTTTGTTTGACATGTATTCAAAGAAAAGTTGCAACAGATTATCTGTAATATCAATGTCAAACTTGAGTGCCAAGATTCCCGTGACAAGAATGAAGATAAAAGACACAATGATCCCTTGTCACAGCAAACCTTGCCCTTACAGTCTGAATGGAACACCATGGATGACATTGATATCTTGTGACTTGCTACTATGCAAGATGAACAAACCATGCATATTGATGGACCGTTTGACTCCCTTGCCACTCTTGAAAGTATCGGTTTGCCAAGCAAGTGAGATCATAATATCTGCCAGGTTGTTTCTGCTCTCAAACTTGCTGGTATCTTCGATGATCACAACATGGCCGATCTGAAAGTTATCTATAGTCCTCCTTCAGCAGCTACTGTTGACGACATGGTACTAATATCTCACCATTCTGAGCTTATAAAGGGAATGAAAAAGAGAAAGAGACCTGTTGTATCAGATAAAAATCATTTGACTGCCAAATCAGTAGATGTCACTGTTCACAAAAAACAAAGAAGAGAAACTTTTGCAAATACCTCTATAAATGTTATGTCAAACAGGGCTGCTGGAAGCTCTGACAATGAAGAAAGTCTGCACATTAATCCTTGCACTCTGTATGATGTTCTTTGGGACATTATTGTAGATAATGGCATAATCGGTAACAAAAAACAGTTGCACACTGTGACCTTGGTTGGCAAGCATTTTACTTCAAAGCAAGAAGAGCAACTTATGCTTTATATTGCTGGAATTGGAGGATCAGGCAAAAGCCATGTTATAAAAACAATTATTGACTTCTTTAACAGATGTGGCTCTGCTGATGACATTCTACTCAGCACGCCTACTGGATGTGCTGCTGTACTGATTGGTGGCTATACCATCCACACTCTTACCTTCTTACCCGAGTCTCAGTATAAGCTAAATCAATCCGAACTTGAAAACATATAGTGTTATGTTAATTACCTTGTCATTCACAAGATCTCCATAGTGTCCACCTCTCTGTTGAGCAATATCTCACACCATTTATGTTCTGCAAAAGTGTATAATCTTATTCATGCCAGCAAGCCTTTTGGAGGGATCAACGTCATTTTCACAGGGGATTTTGGTCAGCTGAAGCTCGTAAAAGAGACGGCGGTGTTCAGTATTCCTTAGTAAATCACATATTACCCAACACATCGCAAACTGAATATGGCCAATCATCACTGCACAGAGCTTTTTTATGGCGGCAAGTTAACAAAGTTGTTGAATTGAAGAAGAACTGGTGTGCTGATGGTGATCCTGCATTTGTAAATCTCTTGCACTGCATTCACCTAGGTATTGCCTGGGATGCAAGTAGTCCCTTGTCCTATCAACAAAAAGGGTCTGGTTCTAACTACATTGTTTTTGACTTTGACACTCTCAACAGTTGTTGTTTGTAATATCTTTCCACACACCAGCCTAAAGCATTGGATGATTTCAAAAACACCCCAATAATCGTCTGTGAGAAGGTACTCAGAGATTCAATCAATGATAAGAAGGTACAGATCTTTGCTCGCTCAACTAACCAAGCTTGCCATATATATCATTCTAGTGACCTTGTCAAAAAACAACAGCTGCCACAAGACATGCAAGACTTTGCATGGGACAAAATTGGATCAAGCATCACACACAACAGCTTAAGCAAATTGCCATTGGTGCAAGGCATGCACATCATGGTTACTGAAAACATTGTTATTTCCTGTAACGTTGTCAATGGAGCAAAGGGCTTGCTGGAAAACATCAAATTTTCAGTGGACAAAAGTGATTGACGCTACACAGAATGTGCTTAAGTGAAAATTACACTTCAGTCACCCCCAAAACATAAGCATTTAGCTTCAACTATCTGTGTAAATGTATAAAGCTAAGAGCTTGTTTTTCCTGGTATCATCCCAAGTGCTCCAGCAAGGATGGGATCATCCCAGAAGTGGGATAATACCACCCTTCTGGGATTTTCCCATGGTATCAGACCATTTGTTATGGTGGGATAATCCCAGACATTTGCCACATGTCACATGGTGTCAGGGGGGCTTTACTGCAAAAATAGTTCCTGCATAAATGTAGCCAACATCAATACATTATCAATAGTACTAATAGCCATGAAGCAGAATACAATACTACCTGCTTTCATCATTTATAACATATATACAAATTTCAAATGGTGTTTACTCTCAATTGAACCTTAATTTGTCCAGCTTCTAGTGTAATATCATATACTATAGATTGATGGAGGAGACTTTGACCAAAGGTTAGTGTAACTAATTGTGACATATAACCATTTACAAATTAACCTGATTTAATTCAGTTGATTAGGAGATAATTCAACCATATCTCTTTTCCTTAACTGACTATATAACTTTGTCATTCCTACTTATCATATAATTTACTGCATATCACAAAGTAGATTTATCTACCCTGGATTTCTATCAATGTTACTTAAAATGGCTTATAGTCAAAGGAATACAAGATGTTTGACAATACCAAGCATATACATCTGCAGGATTACAATACCTCTCATTCAGGCTCATCCAACTTTAAATAATGTAACACTCTTGCAACCAGGCAAAGATATGTCACAAATCCATTTAATGTGCTGATCCAAAAGATATGATATTTTTTTGAATTGTGCAGCTTTATCCAAGTGCCTGAACTGAAAAATGCACAAAGATACCAGTCCGAGTAAGTACTACATATTCATTATCCTTCCCTCTGCTGCATCATTGTCAAAGGCAGAACATGTCTTGCATGAGACAAATTGCTGGCTCTTTGTGGCAGCCCAGCATCCACAAGCCAACACCCATTTTATCCACTATATGTCCCCACGCATACAATTGATTATAAATTTTTGTGAAAACAAAAATGGCTGAAAGGTGTGCTCTGCATGCTTATGCAATTTCATGTGACTTGGGATGAACCTACGTGAGGGCTACTCTGAATCACTGTCCCAGTTCAACCTTAGGTTCATCCAGGTCCTACCATAACATAATAGTTGGTTTACAAACAAAATACTGCAACATGTAAAAAATGGAAACTGCTGGAAAAGGACAATAATATTTTAAGCTGCTGGGAACTTACCTATGATTATATGTTACAGAATAACCTTAGTGCATTTCAGGAGTATTTTCCCCTGTCATGCTGAGTCACCAGCAGCCTAAGCATGCTATTCGATAATTCTGTTCCTGTTGTGGGATCTCCCTGTCCTATTCTGACTCAGGGTGATCTTGTCCCCTGCTTGGATTTGTCTGTGATGTAGTGAGATGATCCTATGTAATTTGGAGATTTTTCTAGATCAGATTGAACTGGAATGATCCCATCTCTTTCCAAGACTTTCCTTGGCTGGTTTGGGATGATGCTTTACCCTTCAGGCATTGGTCCATATCAAATTGTGATGATCCCATCCCATTTGGTATTTGTCCACATTTAACTGGGATCATCCCCTTTTTTGCTGGGATTTTCCCAGATTGGTTTGAGATGACCCTATCCCCCCTTGGTATTTGTCCATGTTGAACTGAGATTTTCCCAGATTGATTTGGGATCATCCCATCCTCTTTTGGTATTTGTCCATGTTGAGCTGGGATCATCCCATCTCTGGCTGGGATTTTCCCAGATTGGTTTGGGATCATCCCATCCTCTTTTGGTATTAGTCCATGTTGAGCTGGGATCATCTCATCTTATTTAGTATTTGTCCATGCTTAACTGGGATCATCCCATCCTTTGGTGGGATTTTCCCACATTCAATTGGGATCATCCCATCCTCTTTTGGTATTTGCCCATGTTAAACTGGTATCATCCCATCTCTGGCTGGGATTTTCCCAGAGTGGATTGGGATCATCCCATCCTCTTTGGTATTTGTCCACATTGAGCTGGGATCATCCCATCCCTTTATGGTATTTGTCCATATTGAACTGGGATGATCCCACCCCCTTCTGGTATTTGTCCATGTGAGAAGTGGGTAACCCCATGTTACGTGGGGACATGTACAGATTTAACTGGGATGATCACACCCTATTTCAGGGATTTGTCCAGATCAGTGTGGGATGATCCTCAGTAAAAAAAATCAAAAGTTGGGCAATGTCAATGGTCAGAATCAGTTTTGAAGGAAATTACCTGAGTTCTACATATTGCCATAAAAATGATAATCCAAAAAGAGTGGTGTGAGACAGCATCACTATCATATGAGAGACAGAGAATGTTGGCAGAAACCTTACTTGGCATGAAAAAATATTTTCCGGATTCATTTCAATTTCTCAAGAATCTAAAAAAAGAATACCTTTACAGCACTCAGATTCTTTGTGGACTTAGATACTGTACTATACACAGTCAGCATATAGGCACCAGTCACCCCTTAGACCTTCAGCTGGTAGCTCCCAGAAATGGCACAACTCAAGGTATTAAATACCTAAGCAGTGCCTAATTAATCCTCACACTCAAGTCATCTAGTGTAGGAGTATCAAAATGGAGATCTTGTGTATTATACTGTACATAGCAAGCATCCCCCTCTCCCCATAGACCTTCAGCCAGCAGCCCCCAGGAACCACTCTCAGAGAATGTACAATATAAGGTATCAAATACCTTGGTAGTGCCACAAAAGTGGTAAATTCATGTTTTTGCAAGAACATGACTTTATGTTTCTTTTTACTATGTTTTACTTTCTACAAGGTCAGGATTTTCCTCACAGAATATGCCAGATCTAGTGTAAATCTAATATTCGATGTCCTTCTGCAGATTACTTTGTTGTCACAGCATTTGTGTTGTGTTTCCTAGTTTTTACTTCAGTTAAGGGTATAATAAACCTTGCAAAAAAGCAGAACTCACATATCACATCTATCAGCAAGGACAACAGCATCTTTCTAGTGTATGGTTCCTGCAATTGATTATATCTAGAAATTGATAATGTTCCACATTTAAAAAAAAGGGAATGCTTCTCCCCAAATTTGCAGTAAGCTACAATGAGGAACTTGTAACTCATATATTTCAAAATAGTCTTGATTATATTGGGCTAAAGTACCATTATTCAGGTGGAAAAGACTGGAAATATCTTCACTAGTTGGCCCAGCATTCTCACATGTTAGTATTAGCACCAATCCCCCTGATACCATGTGACATGTGACAGGTTATTGGGATTATCCCATCTGAGGGATAATCCCACTATGGTACATGGTCTGATACCATGGGAAAATCCCAGAAGGGTGGTATTATTCCGCTTCTGGGATGATCCCATCCTTGCTGGAGCACTTGGGATGATACCAGGAAAAACAAGCTCTTAGCTTTATACATTTACACAGATAGTTGAAGCTAAATGCTTATGTTTTGGGGGTGACTGAAGTGGAAAATTAAGGACTCTAACTTACAATTGTCCGGTTTGCCTACTGACATTGTACCAATTTTGCCCACTCCTACGAGATTCACTTACAATCCCAAACTTTCCAGTACGGATGGCTCTTCAATGCCTCTCAAGAGTTGTAATATTGTTTAAACACAACTACCTCTTCTTCCAGCTTATGCTTACACTGATTATAAGGTTCAAGGTCGTTCTCTAAAAAGAGTAATACTTGATCTTGCTGGTTGCAGGTCTCTGCAAAGTGTTTACGTCATGCTATCTTGTGCCACTTTTCTCACTGGTATTGCTATCTTAAGATCTTTTACAGGCAAAAAAATCAATCAACATATGACACAAGAATTCCAAGACAAGTTTCAATGACTAAAGGAATTGGATAACGCTACAAAAGCAGCATACAACAACCTCCCAACCCCACAGACCTTTATCAATACGGAGAGCAGCTCCCACAAGACATAGCAAAAGGGCGTAACATCTGATAATGCCCCGTGTAGCTTGGTCCTCCCAAGTACCATACTAATGCACTGTCATAACATTGCACCTCCTCATTACTTTTTGTTTTCTGCACGCCAACATCTCCATCTTGCAAGCGCCAAAACAAATATCCTCAATCAGCTGTACTGCGCAGAGTATGCGGACAGATATTGTCCTTGCAACAGATGTGCGCTATTTCATGCGGATCGTTGTTCTCCCAGAATTGAGGGCTAATGCGTAAATTGTAGCCTTGATCTATGTAATTCACATATGCCCGTACAGTTGCCATGTGAGGGGTGGTGTACTCAAACGGCTTATAGTGATTGGCGTTGATAAGTGCTTGCACACAAGAAGTGAGTTTTGGATATGTGCTGAAGAACCCATCTTCTAAGATAAAATTCATAATGGCTGTCAAATGAAAGCAAAAGATTGGCGCTACGCTGATGTGGGATGTAGCAATCACAACATCAATAGCCATATCACCATTGAGACCTTCACTACCTCTTGAATCTCCACATCGGCCACATACACTTCCCTTTTCCACAACTCCATGTCCACAACAGCATAACCTTCTGAATGCTGTAGATAGTGCAGCATTCTGTTCCTCCACATGAATGACATGTATAGATCCATATCATCCGGCTCCCACCCACTACTTCCTGCAAAAAACTTGAGAGCAACAGATCCAGACACCACACTTTTGAACTGCTGCAAGATAGCAAGAAATGGGCAGGGATAGCGCACAAACCACCTCAGGATCTTGAATAAACAATGCCTAAGGTGTGTGTTCACAATACAATAATTGGTGCAAGAGAGTCCTCCATATAACATGGCATCTGCAACAGACAACAAAGCCAATACACGTTCAACAAGCTCTGGTGCACAAGACACCACAAGGCGCCCATCACATGAGCTGCGTTGCAATGGGTCTGCATCTAATTCATGGGCGGTGGATTGTTTGACGGATGAAATCTCTGCTTTGTTGTGCGCTATAGCCCACTCCTGCTCACTTTTTATGGGAGCTCCTGCATGACAACCACCTGACCACAAATCCTCTGTTCCTGAAACACTTTAATCAGCACTCTTGGCCTCTCTTGCTTTTTTTATTTATTTTAAATTGCAACCTGTATTTCAAATGGCTATCCATCCCTCTCTTTTCCTCCCTTGTCTCCTCAACTTCTTCCCAACGCATCTATCCTCTCATTACTGCACTCCAATGTCTCTTATTTAAGGTATACTCTTCTTACAATTGTCTTTCTGCTGTTCACAACTTCACATCTTTGCAGATAGCAACAACAATGTTCTATTAAAAAACTCGCCTCATCAACTCACTGAGACACTTGCAAAAGCAATTGAGCCTGAACCAGACAACTCAGTTTTGGTACCTATCACCTACCATGAAGTCTGTGAGTGGGCATATGTGGCCAAAAATCCTTTGTCATCAGATTGCAATCACGCACACCTCTTGCTCTATAAAAATCCTCAGAATAAAATCAACAATAACACATTATACCCTCTCTGCATTCGGATTCAAGGTATCCTAGAGAAGAGCTTGTTGTCAGCGCTTGGTTCTTGGGACGGGTATGGTACAATACTAAGCACACTCTCACTAATTAATGTCATACTTTGCAGCACTTTGCATTTTGCACTATCTGCTACACAGAATATTATGTTGGGTAGTGGACCCTTCAAAGACCAATGGGAATCCTTGTTGCTGGCTATACACAAGTTGTGTCAACTAGTACACATCAGCTTGGGTGAGAATGGCTACACAGAGCCTCCTATCACTGCTATGTGCAGCTTGTACATGCAACGCCAAGTGTTTTCTAAGGTGTGTCACTCTACTTACTGAATATGCCTCCTTTCCTGATGGTGTTCTAGATAACGGCCACTCATTGCAAAGTGTCATTGGCCCTACATGCAACAAACAATCCTTCCCATAAAGCAGATCTCATAAATGATAAGTGGCGTGTTCTGCAAAAAATCACCCTTGCCCGCAAAGATTTGCAAGGAAAAGTAGTTTCCTGCTCACACACTTTATTTTGGAAGGGGGATTTTGTAGATGTTGGTGTATCCCTCAACATTAGTGTTTATAGAGCTCATACAGGCAAGTGTTCTATTCGTGCCCACTTGAACCTCAAACATGCCTTGCAACTTGCTTCTTCTGCATACACCACTTTGTAATAATTTGTTATCAAGCTCGGCATAAAGTCCGACTCCAAGGAACACTAATTGGCAGCCAACACCTCCAATACTTCATCAATTGCTGTACAATCTTTGGCCTTGGATACTGAATGAAGGTTTTTTATTTGTAAATACACTACAATACTTATTTTTGTCCAACTTTCTTGTCTCCTATCAACATTTCAAATATGTTGTGCCCCCTTTCTTTTCTGGAAATGCAGGCTGTGCTCTGATCTGAACCCTTGAAATCTGAGTAGTCTCTGCAAACCCATCATTCATCCATCCCCTGCAACGAGTTCTGTCTTATTAACTCTGTTTCCCTTTGTTGCTCCCAAATGTCCCTGTCTGCATACCGGAAGTTATCATTTGTCAATCTACAATCCCAGCAACTAAACGCAATGCGCCTACCAACTCTCCTGCTCCTGACGAACTCCTGGCCAAAAAAAGTAAAACAAGTGGATGTGTAGATCAGCAGGCATGCTCAGAACATGTTGCTACAACATCTGCGGACAGGTGTGCCACCTTATTAATTGTTCTCCTTTGAAAATGAAACTGATACAATGTACAACAAGTGAACTCGCTGCTCAACAGATTGTACCGAGAAAAGCAGGAAGACAATGTGCATTCAAAGGCCATGTAAGGGGTTTGGCAACACCTTCTTTGCGCTACACCCGCTGAATGTAATTTTTCAGCGCACATCCTGTCACTGTCTCTTTGTACCATGCTGTGATATCAATGTATCATGAGAAACTAATCCAGTGCATAAACAATATCTATACTATCCACACTCTTTATATACTTTCATTCCAGGCGCATCAGAAACTTTGTTAATTACTCCAACTCAGAAAACTACACTTACAGCATCAAACAATTACCTCCCATCAACGCTTGGGGAGTGAAGAAGCACAACAAGGACTGGTCACACTACATTTGCCACCCTAGAAGTAACACACCTTATACAATATGGGTAGTTGGTCTCATCAGCAAGGTCTGGTTCTTTGCGCCTGGGCCAAACGGAGCCCCACACCCTCAAGTAAATGTCACTATAGAGCCATTTAGCACAACTGCACTTGCTCTTTCTCGTGCTCTTATAGGTTCCTTACAAGAACCTCAGGAAGGTTAGTTTTCAATGTCCGCATGAAACTTCACATGTTCTAATTGTGTTTTGTCTAGGTACAGAAGCCAATGATTGGGGTGATACTAACATCATGGCCTGGCACCATCAAACTCCTTTTTACCGACAAGGAAATCATCAAACAGTGAGTTTCTATAACCTGCTTAACCTCTTGGCTCACAGATGTTTCAGGCTGTCCCCTTCACAGCCTGCTACGATGCTCGTAACTCGTTCACTGAAAAATGCGACATGGAGGCCTATCCCACTCACTGTGTGAGCATAAATGATGTAGGCCTCATAGAAGTCTACATCAAACACTACAAACGTGACAAAACTGCCAACCATTGGCAAAGTTGGAATGTTTTCCTAGAACTACAACAACTGTCTGTCATCCACTCTTGTTCAGCCAGCATTAACATTTGACAGTGTTTTGCTTTCCATTCCTCCTCTGTTTCATTCTTTTGCACACACCTTTCCCTTCTGATATGGTTGCAAATACACGTTGATATATATATTGTATATATGACCATGTAACGCACATTCTTCAATATTGAACAGTCCTTAATTCAATGGTGATCTGTTGTCCACACCTCTTTTTTTCAATATTAAATGGTCCTTTGTCTGATGCCACCCCCATTGGCCACTCTTCTGTTTGAATGGTCCTTTGTTAGTTGCCAATCCCTTGGCCTCTCTTATTCAAATATCCTTCATTGGATACCATCATTACAAATCTTGAAATTTCACTCCTTGCTCTTGACCTCCATGCGCTATCAACTCCCCTCCGACCAGGAAGTGCAAGAAGCAGCTCAACTTCTACATGTGATTATACCATGCATTGGATTACATTGAGGGCATCAACTGTTACTTGAATGGAACCCTTTGTGGAAGGTCAGCTTGCGAGTGAGTCTCTCCAACATCATACCCTCCAGCATCTGCACATCTCACTGAACTTCCACATGTACACAGCAATTTTGCAAACTCTGGGTCAACATTGACCAACAACAACAACAAAAGCCTCAATTATTTACCTGTTTCTGACTGAAGCTGGTCATATTGCAAATCCAAAACATGACACGTGAATGTCTTGAAAGAGGTATTCAGGGGATCTCCATGCCTTACTCCCCCGATGATCCTGCCATGCTCCACTACTTGGAATCATTGCCAGGGAAATCTACCGTGCATGATTTGGGGTGTTTTTATGATTGATTCCCTCAGTGTGATTGTTCCTACTATCAGTTATATGGGTCGATTGCCTCTTCAACTTCACCACAGATCCCAAATGACATTGCCAATCTCTTATTTGTGCATGAAAAAAAAAGGCCCTTACTTACAGGCAAAATCTTTATCCTGAAAAATGGACCAATTTCATCCAACTGGGTTAAAAATGCATGTATCACTTCTCAGGACATCACGCACAATATCTGGTGGTATTTTCACAGTGGAAACTCCCCATCTTCTATTGCTCAAGAACACTCCATCCTCTCTTTACTGCAAAACTTTGACCTCAATGCCTCCTAGTGACTCAGATGCCACAACTCATGTTTCTCATACTATACATTCTCACATGCATGTAGGTCTATTGTATCTTGTCTTGCTCACACTGACAACGCTGGCATCTCCCTTACCAGTGCTACTCACACATGTACAAAGCCGCTTGTTTCCCAACAGATGGTGCTTGCCCTGTGATTATCAATGTGCCTTCTTTGTTGCATCACGAATGCTCCTGCACTCATATCACTCAACTCAATTACCACTTGTTCTTTCCACCCACCATCCTTGCTGCACGAGAAGAACTACATAAAACTTACTGGGACATCCATGACACACTAGATGAAGAAGCATCTACTCCAATACCTGAATACAATGATGACATCCTACCCATTCTGTCTTTTGAGCGTGAGCCAAGCACCCATATCCACTCCATAACTCTCGACAGAGTACCTTCTTTTACAACTCCCATCATTTACCTCAACAATAAGTTCACTATGTTGTTTCACAAGCAATCAACCATATCTACCATCAAGAACAAAATCGTAAATGACCTGCTCGACACCCACCTGCATTTTTACCATGACCATTGCAAATGGCGTGGTGGAATTGTTATCATCAAGCACTCCCATTCAGATCCTTCCACCGCCACACACCTCCCCCAAAGAGATATTGGCCTTTTGAATATCTTGGTTCCTGCGTATGTTCTCTTACTTCCTGTGTTCTGTTCTTTACTAGTTTTCTACAGCATCATCGCCTTTCATTACCTCATTTGAGCCTGCATATTTTACTGTACTGTACTCTTATTGTAACGGATACGTGTTACTTTGTTACTTGTTACCGTCACATTTCCTTTTTTGTTTATTTACCATAATTTTAACACTCTTTTATTGCTCGTAGAACTACTGTTGCTCATTAGTTTATTTAGATTTCCTTAGACTCCGACACCGGTTCATGTATCTAAGGGCTCTCTGACTCATCCCAGGGAGCCCAGTGTTGTTAGGAATAGCAGACCTAAAACTGTGATCCCTGGTGCGCTCGAGACATCTCTCATCTTTCCATTTCCATTTGTGTGACGTTCAGTGACTATTACACTCATTTGACTGTTATACACACCTGGTCCTCCCAGTTAGTCAGCCTTCTAATAATGGATGGTTACTGACTGGGCCGATTATTACAAGGCTCTCGTATGGAGATGGAGAGCTCCAGACACCAGCATTAAATCCTGCCCGAGATCCAGAACTAGCCGTTGGCAGAGTTATTTGGGTTTTGCTTATCGATTCTGAGGGCCTCCGCATACACAATATATACGACGACTTTCAGGACCAGCTCTTCCCACGCTGTTTCCTTGTTTCTCGTTGTCGTCTTCTCCCCACCATCATTATCATTGTCGTCTCCCCATTGTTGCTGTCATCACCTCCCTACCCACTGTCATTGTTGTCGCCTCCCCATCATTGTTGTCGCCTCCCCATCATTGTTGTCATCTCACAATTGTCTCTCCTCAATTTTTATTGGAAGATAAGCTTTTCCTTTCAAGTTTTATTCTATCACTTTACTAATGCCTAGTACTTCAACGGAACACAGTGGTTTATCAAAGTCTATTATCACCCATACCCATAGGTGTTTTGGGCGTACCTCCAAGGTTCAGAAGGCTGGAAAACAGGCGCACCGTGTCAAAGAGGCTAATGAAAAAAGGTTGCATCAAATCAGAGGTGAGCTGTTCTCTATATTATCATATTTATTGTATCTCAGGAATATACATAAAGATCTTTTGAAGGATGATGGTCTAATGATAGAGAATATGTTGTCTGATCATGCCATGGCCGACATTGATTCCAATCTGTCAGAACCTGCTAGAGATTTGAGTGCGCACTATGATGAAAATGACGAGGAATATTTGGAGGATTTGGCACATGAAATGGCGGATACAACAGGATAGTATGTAAAATTTTATAAATTTGTTTTACGTTCATTACTCATAAATATTAGTGCATACATGGACCCGTGCACTCATCGTGATTGTACGGAAGTGCAAAATTCTCAATGGGATCTTCAGATGGATTATCTTGTGCAGGCCTATCTAACATACAGGCACATGGACAGCATGTTACAATCTCTATTGGACATTTAAGGACTACTCATTTCTTTTTTACTCATCGGTTATACCATCAGACCAATGACTCATTTCCTTCACATACACTTCCATTCCTCTTGCATTCGCAGTACCTATTATAGTACTTAGTCCTCAACGGACGGACTTGCCCTAGATAGGACCTAACTCCTATCACTGATTCCTTTCCATTATAAATACCATGTAACAGCAGTAGTATTCTCTAATACAATTCTACGCAGTTTACGCTTACAAAGCTAGACTCCTAAGATCAGACTTCTACTCAGAAGAAGACCAACTCTAGTTGGAAGAACTCCACTCAGAACTATGTTCTCGAACTTGTCTTTGGATAAGTCTCTTTACAAACCTCGAAGAACCCTCAGACTTTGTTAAGCACTTTGTGCGTAACACAGCGGTGATGGAATTCCCCATATTGATGATAGCAATATGCATGTTCCCGACCACACAACCTGCCCTTCACTTGAGGGTATTGAAATGGTTGACATTTTTGTCCGTTGACATACTTGTTTAACCCCACAATCCTATCACAAGTATCCCAATGAGGCACTAATCTATTATGGATATTTAGGTTGTTCCCCATTGTATCCTAATGTTGCTATCTCAATTTGCACACTTGCTGCCTATCAACAAACACACAGGGCTTGTCCCCGGTTCACCATTCAGGCTCAATGTAAAGCTATGTGCCATCTACATAATGTAAGTTATAACAGCTGATAGACATCCTCGGAGCTTAATCATTTATCATAGATTCCTTATTATCCTTATCTTGAAATGCAGTTTTTTGCCGCCTTTGACGTTTATTTGGAAATACTACATCATGTCGACAAACTCCTTCAAGTGGCCTTTAAACATGATACACCAAACTGGCGCATGCTGCACTCGTGTCCTGCATGCTTTTATAAGCTGTGGGATGAACCTGCACTCAATTTTGAGTGGCTTGCAACTATGGATGGGAACAGCAGCTTAAAGCGGTTCAAGTCTACTGTATACGGTAAAGCAGATTACACTGATACAAGGAAACCTCCAACAGATTATTGGATTGACGAGTCAAGCGTCAATCTTTTCCAGAATGAGGTAAAAGGTAACACAACAAAGCAAGGGAGTGAAGGAGCAGATAACTGGGTTGATGCTGGGATAGAACAAAAACAACCCGAGTCAGAATCATTCATTTGCATCAATTGATGGAGGAATGCCGGTCCTGAACAGAAGAAAAAAATGTTCAGTATATTTGACGAGACCGGCATATTCATTGCAACATGTTGTCACAGGATTATACTTTCTGTTTGAGATATAATTGCAAGCGGTGAATTGTGAGTGCCCATTTTGTATATGAGTCGGATAGTGACACATTTATTAGAGCAAAATATCCACTGGCAATTATACATAAATTATTATCTGTGTACAGCAAAAATGGTGGATGTGCGTATGATATAGGTTGTGCATTTTCTACCACTCTGCAAAACAGTTCCCTTGGACTGAGAGCTCGGGATCACAACCTTCGAATGATGGTTGGTGTTTTCCATGGCCACACTCACAATCGCAAATGCCAGCTGGATTGGCATTCACTGTACATTGAAGGCACAGGACACAGTCAAGGCAAGGGTTGTGAGCATGTATTCTCATCTTCTAATGATCTCACTCGTTGTTACGATAACACAATTTCCAGACATCTCCTTTCCTTTTATTCTCCGCTTTAACTTTATACTTTAAGTGCCACGCGGCATTTCCCTTTCTCGCGCCGCGTTGCCTTTCTTTTACTTTTAGACTTAACTCTCTCACGCAGTGGAGCTGGCCATACGGGCTAGGCCCTATGACATCATCAGCCACTGCCTTCATCAACTGTATAGTACACATGTACAAACAAACCTGTAGTAGTATATATACCCCAATAGATCCAGGAGACTCCTCAGCGAGTCCTCCTGTTGTATACCAACTAACTCACTGCAGCCCAAGGGGTACCCACTCCCCATCTTCCACTACCTTTATAGTGTGTTCCTGTGTGCGCCAGAGTAACTAACTCTTGGTTGTTACATTAGGACTCGCTCTTTCTACTCTCTCGCACGTGTGTGCAGAAGTCCCATCATTTGGGCACCCGGACTCCAGGGTGAAGGAGATTGGTTAGCGGTTAGGAATATCCCACATAGCAGATAGGTGCGCTCCTAGCGACGGCCTTGTAGTGCTTTGGGAGAAGAACCCAAAACCTTTGATACGCGGCCCCCAGCATTAAGGGGAGTACCTTAGCTCAGCAGTCGGTGTGGAACCACTGTTGATTAGATTTAAAATACAAACTTTCACTTTCGAATACCTCTGACCAGGCCGGGCACTTGCCTCCGCCAGTCTGGAGAAGGGTTGACAGCTTAACAAGCAGACCACCCCCTGACAACCGTTCGGACCAGGGTTTATTACTTTTACATTTTTATATACTTTTTCAAATACTATAGTGTGGGTAGTCGGAGATTGAGATCCAATACTCAGCTGGGAAGAGGTTGATCCGCAGATAGCAAGCGGGGACCCCCAGTTACCTATTTTTACGTTACCCAAAGAGAACAAGTCGACATGTCGTCGCAAGATATGAATGCGCTACTGCACGCAATGCGTGTGCAGATAGCGGAATTAACCTCGCAGCTCGCCGAGATACAGGCCAACCCCCCTGTAGCAACCCCCTCGGTAGAGAAAAAGTTTAACAAGAAAGTCGAAGTCGTCGCTGACCCTGGCGCCTTCGAAGGAGACCGAGCGCGATTTGCCAAATGGTGGATCAAACTCCAGATTTGGGTCAAGGCGAACTGGGACGCTTTCGCCGACGATTTTGAGGTAGCCACTGCGGTGCTATCTCGCCTAAAAGGACCTGTGGCGGGTCGATACACCCAAGTAAGACTCCAGGAATGCTACACCGCGGGTGTGTGGCCTACCTGGGACGATCTCAAGAAAGAGATCGAAAAATATTTCAAACCGCAAGCTGAGCGAGACTGGGCGCGTCAGCAAATCCGTTACTTCAAACAAGGAAACATGAGGACGGATGATTATGTCACCCGGTTCCTGGCCCTCTCCATCCAAGGAGGGTTAGGTAACGAACACGCAGTAGAACTGTTGGAACGCAATGTGAACCCTCGCATTGCAGAGCAGATCTACCTGCAGGATACAAGAAGTGACGACCTGGCTCTGGCAGCCGAGGAAGTCCGACGAGTCGGTAGGGCCATGGAGCTCTACGCTATGCACCAAGGTGGCGGGTCCACCAAACAAACCACCACACCCCAGAGGCGCCCTGGGTCATCAAACCAACATCATAATCACTCTCACGGGTTCAAGCCGTTCGGGCTGCAGCCAGGACAGGGTGCTCCTATGGATATCGGTGCGGTCCAAGGGGGACAAATGCGCAGATTCAAGGGCAACTGTTACAACTGCGGCCAAGAGGGACACATGTCCCGAGACTGTAGAAACGGGGCGCAGCTGCCCAACAAAATAATCAAAGCGCCAGCGCGCCAATTAGAAATCGCAAAGCCGACGATCGGCTCACACTA